ATAAGTCGGATACTGTTTAAAAAGGATAAGTTCTTTACAATATGACAACACCGATTAGAGGCGAGGGAGCCTATTCATTCATTTATTACCTTGTAGTACGCGTTGCACGTGTGCGGTAAAGCTTTGTTGCCGCTATCTCCCCGGCTGTATTAACGCATTTTCTTAGCTTGTAGTCCTTAAGTGTTTATTTTATTGACTTTTTCTGTTTAAGAACTATAAAATATGGTTCGCCAGTGTCTAATTTGCAAGAAATTTGACTTAAATAATCCAATTAAGTCTTGAAACGACTTTCGACCGGTAGGCAACTCTCAATTTACCCATTAGGAGTCAGTGGCGTTGTTGTAGAAAGGCGCTTATTTAGATAATATTTTAGTAAAATGTAAAATCTGAATTTTTTCTCTTACATTACAATATTGACTTACTTACATTGTAACAAAATCATAATTATAACCCTGTTAATAATTAATAATGTTTTTATTAAAAATATATGCCGGTTTATTCTAAAATTATCTTCAGAATCTAAAATAACATACAAGAATTTTAAAATGATATTACATTATGAAACAATATTTTTTAAGGTACCGGGTCGTCTCAAAGTGGCTCACCCCTATAACTTTTTATTTTTCAGATACAAAAAAAAATTGTATGTTAGTAGGTATATGACATAAATTAGGATTTATTGACGTATTCAATTGTTTTTGGTCTCTTCCTGTTTCACCGAAATGATTACATCTTTTGATTTTTAAAGGCACCCTCGGTATATTGCTACATTATTCGATAAAAAATGACACTCTGAATAGAATGACTATCATATGTCAACTTTTGACATTGTCGCTTAAAAATAAATCGTATTTTAAATTTCAATCGAGGGTGCCATGGTGTTGTTAAAAACACCAAGTTTTAATCAAGGAGACTTGGAAAAATAGTTTTGATCGTCTAATGGGTTTCGTGTCTTGTTTAGGCCGGTTAAAAGATGTACAAATCGTAGTTTTAATCATACATATGTCAATTTTTTCAAATGGAACAAGGGAGACTCATTAGCATATTTGGAAAAAGCATTTTTTTATGAATATATTGATACTACACACTTGGTATTTCGAGTCAAATTGTCGTTATGAACCGCGTGTTACAATTACAATTAAACCATATGCGAAAATGTCAAAAGTTGACATATTATGCTATGTCATTCTATTCAGAAATCAATATTATTATTAAAAATTAAATTGTTATCATTTTCTATCGAATAAAGTAGAAATATACCGAGGGTGCCATTTAAAAATTAAAAGTTATATTCATTTCCGGTGAAACAGGAAGTGACCAAATCCTAATTTATATCATATACTAACATACTAAATCTTGTTTTTTTATTTGAAAATATAAAAAAATTATGGGGGATGAGCCACTTTTGGGACGCACTCGGTATAATAAAGACAGTACTGAGTTAAATAAATGTAGTTTTCATTTTATCCACTTCCTATCTTCTTCCTTGCTTTAATGGAACAGATTTATGTTTTCTCTAATTTACATTATACATAAAGGCATCACTTAACCAGAGAAAAAATTACAACAATCATATTTTATTTTTTCTCTCCCTGTCGCCGATTCTATTATATCTGTGGAATTGATCCTGTTTTGATTAATATTAGGGGTTGTAAATGTTTGACTAAAATTAATAATTTATTATTAATTTCAAAAATTACTTAATTTCGATTATAAAATTTCTTCTATAACGTGTATTTTATTATTTTTATCCTTTTTGGACTCTAAGACGTTTTTTTCTAAACTTTTATTCAAAAAACCTGTCCTAAATCTTAATACAATATTTAAATACGATATATTTTTAATTTAATTATAGCTTCATTAAAATAAAAAAGTTACCCGGCTATGATACGGAGAGTTCAGGTGTACTTGAGAAACGAAAGACAGCGTTGTGTTTCTCGGCAGAGTCGTCAGGGAACGACCGTTATGACAGCGACAACCTATCTATCGCTCGTGTCGCACTCGTTATAACCTAAAACAATAACACAACAATAACAAGACGTTGTCTGACCGCATGTTCCAGCTATTTATGAATGAGATGCTCAGTCTATATTTTATTTTAAGTCTATGTGTGGCTCCGTCAAGGTCAAATTTTATAGAAATTTTAAATAAAGGAATCTGAGCAGAGTTGGCGTGCCGATTGTTTTATGTGCCGTGCCTAAAGTAGGGAAAAAAAGTTAAAGTTTCAGGAAAATATTTTAACTTCTACAGGATGGCCCATAAAAGTGTGAGTGGATCGAGATTATTTTTCTTAAATTGAACACCCTATATATTATTGCATTTTTGGCTTCCTTTCTATATTATTAAATATGTTTTGATAGCTTTCGAAATATTGATAAATAAATAAAAAAATATAATTTTTCAGCCTTATGAAAAAAATTAAAAATACAAGAAATGTTCTGAAATTGAAACTATACCATATATTTACTATAGTTGGTCTATATTCCTATATATATATCGTAATCTTAAACCATACAGGTTGTTCAAAATTCTATGCCAAATCTTCTAAAATATAAATTCTACGTATTTTTAAATGGAACACCCTCTATATTATTTTTTTGTTAGATGGAGAATTAAAAAGTGAATACTTTTTCTATTTAAAGTATTTTAAAATTTGTAACGTTTATCACTTATTCTTTTTTCGAACGATTCAAACGAACGATTCGTTCAATCTATGCTTGTGTCTAACCACCATCTTTTTATATTAGTAGGAACAATATAATATATATTTAGAGAAGAAAAGTATTACATATTTTGACAAATATATAATTCCGGCCACACATACATTAAATTTGAATTAAAAAGACATTACCTCTCTGCACCAATTTAGATTAATTTATTAATATCCCATCTTATTTATACTAGTATATTTTCCCTGTGTTTTAATTTATTCCAACAGATTTATCACAAATATAACTCCCATTTTGAACACAACATAATATATACCAACCGCTTCAAAGCATAAATTTGATGTATCGTTTTCAATAAGCGCGTTTTACGCATATAAACTTTGTATATTCTTACAAATAAGCTGTCGAATTTTATTGCTTCTATTTTTCATTTTTATTATTACATCAGGGAAAAATCACACTTTACTCCCTTCCTATGTTTTTTCTTTATTCTCTATAAGTTGTTTGTTTCTTCTGGATCGGCTATTGATTTATTTTAAAAGTGATATTTTCCTTATAAGCCATATTAATAAATTATAGTTCTTCCTGTTTTGTTCAACTAGTTATACACACAACATATATATTTTATACACATAACTTAATATTATATACGTGCTATTAATGTTGCAAACAAAATAATTAGTAGTGTGAATGAATATTGACTTGTGTCTTGAAAAATAGAAATACCGGGTTTGGTTTGGTTTGGTTCAGTTAAAAAAACGAGATTTGGTATGTTAGTATATGACATAAATTAGGATTGATTGACGGTCTGTATTTGTTTTCGGTCACTTCCTGTTTCACCGGAAATGACTACAACTTTTGATTCTTAAATGGCACTCTCGGAATTTTTTTACTTTATTCGATAGAAAATAAGGCTCTGAGTAGAATGATATATCATATGTCAACTTTTTCGCATATGGTTTATTTGAAATTATAACTTGCGGTTTATAACGAAAATTTGTCTCCAAATATCAAGTGCCTTTTCAAAATATGCTAATGAGCCACCCTCGTTCGATATGATTAAAAATACAATTTGAGCATTTTCTAACTGGTCATGACAAGACACTAAAAACATTAGACTATCCAATCTATTTTTCCAAGGATCCTTGATTGCAAATTAGTGTTTTTCACACAGCCATGGCACTCTAGATTGGAATTTAAAATACAATTTTTTATTAAGCGAGAATGTCAAAAGTTGACATATGATACGTTATTCTATTCAGAATGTTATTTTCTATCGAATAAAGTAAAAAAATACCGAGGGTGCCATTTAAAAATCAAAAGTTGTAGTCATTTCCGGTAAAACAGGAAGTAACCAAAAACAATTGAATACGTGAATCAATCCTGACTTATGTCATATGCTAACGTACCAAGTCTCATTATTTTATCTAAAAAAATAAAAAAAAGTTATAGGGGTCACAGAGGCTTGGATGACGGACAGGGTAGTCCCATCCGCCTTCGGTATATTAAAAATTATTTAAAATAATGAAGGATTAAATAACACTAGGACTAAAATAAAGCTTGGCTTAAGGTGAGTGATGTAAATCACTTAGATTCATTTTAAAATATTAAAAATTTTGTGAAAGTTCAATGACAATAATTATTTATGCTTTTTATTTCTCTAGGTGCATTTAATAATAATATTGTATTTACTTAATCTTGTAATAACAAAGAATAGTGTAATACTCGATTATACAGTGTTTCCAAAACTTTATTCTATTACTAGTGTGCAGAAATGCAGTTGTGGACTGTATTAATTTTAAATTTTAGTTTGACTGGTCTTATTTTATCAATGTAAATTACGTTAATAGCTGGGAGAAACCGCACAGAGAAATGAGAAACCTGCTCCTACTTTTAATGGTCGTCTCAGAGAGCTTCAGAGGGCCCTCTTCTCGATCTTGATCTCAGCGCTAATTTTCACACATACACTAACATGAATCGTCTTTGAAGGGATTTAACTTTTAAGTTCAGACTTTCGGCGCGTACCGGTTAGCTGACCAATTTCGTCGTACGACGGTTTGTAATAGACTGTGTGCCACACTTCCTAGTGTTCGGGCATGCGTACACTAATGTTGCAGGAAGCAGGTATAAGTGCGGCAATTAAAATTTAAAGAAATTAAAATAATTAATCTTAATCTAAGAAATTACATAAAAGAAAATAATTTTATAAGAAATATTAAGTTTCCTTAACATTCCACCCACCAAAACATATGTTTTTAAAAATAAGATAAAGAAAAAAAAATAATGCAAAGTTAAGAATAAAAAAAATGTATGAAGAATTATTTTACCTTATTAGTTGCCAGGTAAAGGGCAAATTTTGACAACTGGTCTTTGTAATATCCCATGTGCAGTTTTAAGTGTGACTACACGAACAATATTGTCTTTTCCGGGATGAAGCTTTATGACTCTACCCAATTCCCAAGATAACGGAGATTCTGTTTCATGTTTGATCAGAACTAATGAATTCAATTTTATTTCAGGAGTAGGTTCGGTCCATTTATGCCGTTCTTGCATTAAATGTACATACTCCTGAGACCAACGTTTCCAGAAATCAGTATGCATACGTTGAATTAGTTGCCATCTTGACAATCTATTAAGAGGGATAGAGGTCAGATCAGGTTCTGGAAAACCAATTGTTAAAGGTTCTAAGGTCAGAAAGTGACCGGGAGTTAATGGTTGTAAATCATTGGGATCGGCACTTATAACCGATAATGGCCGAGAATTCAGCACTGCTTCAATTTGGGTTAGAATAGTGGAGAATTCTTCATATGTCAAAATCTGAGAGCCGATTGTTCGATATAAATGAGATTTCATAGATTTTACACCGCTTCGGCCAGGCCATTAAAGTGAGGACTGCCGGGTGGATTAAATTTCCAAGTAATGGATAAAACTTGAGCCGCAACCTGGGCGAATTGAAGCATTTGGTTGCTGGCACCTTTGAAATTAGTACCTTGATCACTAGAAGTAAAAGAACATCTGCCACGACGCGAAACAAAACGCTTAAAAGCGGCCAAAAAAGCCTCAGAAGTAAGGTCTGAAGTAGCTTCAAGATGTATTGCTTTGGTAGCTGAGCATACAAAAACACAAACATATCCCTTATAGATCTTGGCTTTTCTGTATCGATGCATTGTTAGAGAAAAGGGACCTGCAAAATCAATACAAATGGACGAAAATGCTTTCAATTGTGAAATACGTAACGATGGTAAATCAGCCATATAAGGATTGTATGATTTAGGTTTACAGCGAAAGCAACGAATACATCGATTTAAACATTTGTAAATAGAACTTCGTGGAGATAGTATCCAAAATTGTTGAAGGATTAAACAGTGCAATGTCTTTAAACCTGGGTGAAGGTTTGCTTGATGAATCCACTCAATAATCAAATCAGTAAGTCTGTGTGATTTAGGCAATAATATAGGGTGTTTTACATCGTAAGTGAAGTTGCTATTATTAAGTCTGCCACCCACCCTGACAAGACCTTCCGAGTCCAAGAAAGGTGCGAGTTTCCGAAAAGGTTTAGGAAGTAAAGCATTTGATAGAATTTTATCTATAATGTCTGAAAAGGTCTTTCGTTGAACATGTCGAATAATATAAATCAATGATTTACGCATTTCAGAAGATGAAATAAAAGAGGTTTTACTTTGCAGTGAATCTTTAGATTTAAGGAAAAATCTTAAAACATAGGCTAAAATTCTTTGAATTTTACGTATCGAAGAAAACTTGTGTAGCAGATCGCATATGATATCTTCTTCTAATGAAACATGGAGAGATGTTTGTTTTTCTTCACTGTAGACAGATTCACACATTTCTAAATGAGGTTGAGCAGGCCAGACATCTCGGTTGCAATGTTGAAGAAAGTTTGGACCGCGCCACCAAATTTTGTGTTCTAAGAGTTGAGATGCAGTTAAACCACGAGATGCGCAATCTGCAGGATTGTCACTGGACGGAACATAACGCCAGGAAGTGTTAGAAACTTTGCCTTGGATATGACTTACTCTGTTAGCTACAAAAGTTTTCCATTTATGAGGACTGGCAGCTAACCAGGCTAAAACGACAGTCGAATCAGACCATGCATATATGGAATTAAAACAGAGATAATCTGCGTAAGTAGTAGTAACAAAAGTAAGCAAATCCGCCAATAAAACAGCTGCACAGAGCTCTAGACGAGGCAATGAAACAATTTTTAATGGAGCCACTTTACACTTAGCAGTGACCAAAAAGGTACTACTTGACCACTATCATTGATAGTCCGAAAATATATGACGGCTGCGTAACCAGTTTGGGAAGCATCACAGAAACCGTGCAGTTCCATACAAGAAATATTATCAGAAATTACACGTCGAGGTATTCTAATTCCAGCTAGTTGGGATAGTTCGGATTTATACCTATTCCAGACCTGCAATATATCTGTAGAAGGAGTTTCATCCCAAGATATATTAGATTCCCAGAGTTTTTGTAGAAGACATTTTGCTAATAGAATAACTGGGGAAATAAAACCAATAGGGTCATATATTCTACTAATTTCGGAAAGTATATTCCGTTTAGTACATTGGCGATCAACTGGATTAAAAGAATAAGTAAACTCGTCAGATTTTGGACACCATTTTAGACCTAAAACTTTAATGAACGAAGGTTCTTCTTTGTCAAAGCTACAAGACATTTGTACATCAGAAGGAGGAATATGGCTTAACAAATCAGGTTGATTACTTGCCCATTTTCTCAATTCGAACCCCCCAGTACGCATAAGATCAACAAGTTCGTGTTGCAAACTTAGAGCAGAATTTAGATCATTTGCACCACAAATTGCGTCATCTATATAAATATTTTTCTTTATTGCCTTTGCAGCTAAAGGAAAATGAGACTCTCCCTGATTAGCAAGTTCTTGCAGTGTTCGAAGAGCTAAATATGGAGCAGACGATACCCCGTATGTCACTGTGAGCAGTTTGTATTCTTGAATTGGTTCATCTGAAGAAAAACGCCATATGATTCTTTGAAAGTTTTGAAATTGTGGTTGAATAAGAATTTGTCTATACATTTGCTTAATGTCACAAATAAAAACATATAGATGAAATCTAAAAGTTAAAAGAATAGAAGCAATATCCTGTTGTAACTTAGGTCCTATAAATAAAGAATCATTGAGAGATGTTCCATTCGTGTCTCGAAAACTAGCATTAAAAACCACCCTAAGCTTAGGTCCAGATATCTCATTTTTTATAACAGAATGATGAGGTATGTAGTAAGCTGTAGGAGAGTTATAGTCTTCCGGAGGGATCAATACCATATGTCCATTGTTGAGATAATCCTGCATAAACTCACAGTAAGCTTTACGAAGCTCTGGATTTTTAGCAAGCCGGAACTCTAGTGATGTAAATAGTCGACGAGCTTGAAACATGTATTACGGAAGAATGGATTCGGTATTTTAAACGGAAGAGGTACACAGAATCTGCCAGACTGATCTCTATAAGTTAGCGATCTATAAATTTCCTCACACTGGACATCCTCAGTAGACAGGCTAGAAATTTTAGGAATTTCCTCAACTTCCCAAAATTTTTGAAGCTGAATATCTAAGTTATTTTCAATAGAAGTATGGCAGCTTAGCAAAGTTGAATTATGTAACGGTACATGGTCAGAAACTGCCATACCTTGAAGAATATATCCGAAAATTGTTTCTAAAGCAACAGGTTGACCCGGTTCACCTAAAATCCGTCCCGAACGTAGAATATGAGGTACCAATTCAGCACCAATTAAAAGGTCAATAGGACCTGGTTTATGAAATGAATAATCAGCTAATTTAAGATTCTGGATATGTGTCCAAGACAAAGGATTTATATTTATCTTAGGTTGGTCAGAACAAATTTTCGGTAAAATGATACTATCAAAAGAGAATAGAGGATTAGAATCATTACATGGTTTAATCGTACAATGTGTGACGCCCTGATTTGTTTGCGCCGACATTCCATTAAGTCCTTCAATGGGAATAGAAAAGCGTTTGCGTGGTAATCCAAGACGATTTACACATTTTTCTGTAATAAAGTTAGCCATGCTAGCGGAGTCAAAGAGAATTCGAATTTGTTGAAAGTTTCCCCGAATATCTTTGATGTCGACAATGGCTGTAGATAATAAAACCGTAGATTGTTTAGTAGATAACGTGCTCGCCATAGCACTGACAGAAGGGCCAGGAGTTGACTCTAGGATTGCACGGTCATCAGTGTGATTGAAATTTGAATTGACTGGAGTATTAGATGAAGAACTATCTATAGCTTTATCCAGATGCAATAATGTGTGATGAGGAGATCCACAAATTTTACATTTAAAAGAAGAATTGCATTTTCGTACAGAATGGGAAGATAACAAACAATTTGTACATAAATTGTGTTGTTTAGCAAAGTTTAACCGGTCCTGCGGTGTTTTTGAAAGAAAGGAAAAACATCTGTATAATGCATGTGAAGATGAACACAGTACACATTTCAGTTTGTCCCCCTTATTAGATTGATATGGTGTGGCATTGTTATTACTTGTTGTCATAAAGGCTGGATAACCAGTTTTAATTTCTGAAGATTTTTTATTAGATGAAAAACTAGAGGATTGATACGATTGTTTGCTCTTATCCTTATAATGTTCATTATTGTATGAAGTAGTAAACTGAACTGACTCTAAGGCTTTACATTTATTTTCCAAAAAATGTGTTAAATCTGAATATGTCGGAATTTCGACAGTATTTTGAACTTCAAAATCAGTCCTAATAGAAACATTTAATTTTTGCAATAACATATTAAATAAGAGAAAATCCCAATGAGTAACAGGAAATTGCAAAACGCTAGCGCAGAAATATTTTCGGAAAAAATATTTAAAAAGTTCAGTACAAGTTCCTTTTCTGACCTGTCCAGCTTGACAGATTTCATTATAATGATAAGTAGCCAGCAATCTTTTATTTTGATATCGATTTTTAATAGCAGTATAAGCAACTGTATAATTGTTTTCAGTGACTGGAAGTCCTTTAATTACAGGTTCTTTACCCAATAACGTTAGTAAATATTGAAACTTTTCTACATTTGACAATTGTGAATTTTCATGTATTAAAGTATTAAAAAGATCAAAAAATCCAGACCAACTTTTGAAATCGCCTTCAAATATAGGAAGAGTAATTTTCGGTAATTTTGCAGTAATTTTAGGAGTGGAAACATTGGTCGAATTATTTGTCAAAGAACTGTCACCTATAATTTGATATTTTATAGCTTTAGATCCGTAGAATGCGTTGTCAGGTGATATACGTAAAGCATCATATTTTTTAAAATCTTCGTCTGATATGAGAGAAATAATTTGATTGTGATAAGTTATAAAATCTTCATACACCTTGTCAATAGTCTCTACTCTAGCTAAAAATATCGATTTTTGAGAGTTGTCAGTAGATATTGCAACACCAATGTCATAAGTTTCTTTTAAACGGTTAAACGCTGTTGTTCGTTTTAAATCATACTTAGAAATTTTATCTGACATAGTGAAAATATTTTAATATTATATCTGATTTTGAATAAATGAAATTATAATATTAAAACTAAAATAATAATAATTGAGTTCAGGTAAAACTGCAAGAATTAATATCAGTAAAAAATATTGTTTATAAACAAATGTGAAACCATCAAAAAAAATGTACTAAGTACAATTGTGACAGTACAATACGATAGTACAATTCTACGACGCTCAGAATTTACCCGACCAAGTAAATTGGTGCGTATTTGTATCGCTGCGCGCTCGTACAAAAAATGAACCAAAAAACTATATGGCTTGGTATCTGTGGAATGTATGGATTTTAAATCGCAAAATTGAAAACTGATATATTAAAAAGAATTATAAAATAAAATCCGGCTCGAAGGACCAAAAATGTGCAGAAATGCAGTTGTGGACTGTATTAATTTTAAATTTTAGTTTGACTGGTCTTATTTTATCAATGTAAATTACGTTAATAGCTGGGAGAAACCGCACAGAGAAATGAGAAACCTGCTCCTACCTTTAATGGTCGTCTCAGACAGCTTCAGAGGGCCTTCTCGATCTTGATCTTCTCAGCGCTAATTTTCACACATACACTAACATGAATCGTCTTTGAAGGGATTTAACTTTTAAGTTCAGACTTTCGGCGCGTACCGGTTAGCTGACCAATTTCGTCGTACGACGGTTTGTAATAGACTGTGTGCCACACTTCCTAGTGTTCGGGCATGCGTACACTAATGTTGCAGGAAGCAGGTATAAGTGCGGCAATTCAAAATTTAAAGAAATTAAAATAATTAATGTTAATATAAGAAATTACATAAAAGAAAATAATTTTATAAAAAATATTAAGTTTCCTTAACAACTAGCATTAATTAAAACGACATTTGAGGCTACCATTGCAAAAACGGCCTAATCTACAAACTCGCAAATTTCAGCTGTATGGTATTTATTTAACTAAATTCATTTTGTGTGCGTAATATAATAGTTAAGTATAATGCCAATTAAATGCTAGTTAAAGAATATTTTTTTGTGATAATGATATTTTTTTATTTTTTCATCATTGGTTAAGCATATTGAATATTAGAGTCATATTTTGCATATTAACCTATCATTATGGAATAAAGTCTTTATATTAGGAAGAAATACATATATATATATATAAAATTTAAAAATTATTACCTCATTGTCCCTGAAGGTGTTCATAAATCTCAATGTCTTAGGATGTTTTTAAAATACTTAGGCCCCTCTGATTAATAGATCATTATCAATCAGGATGATGAGTGGTCAAAAAATTCGGCGATAAAAATTTACTTATCCTCCATAATTTCAGATATTCATTCTGATGTATTTTTGGCACCGAAAGTAGGCCTAGTTGAAACTAATTGAATATGATTTTTTAACTGTTTTACGAGAGCAGTGTAGACGCATATACAGGCAGGCGCCTCTCATACGCCGCAAAAGCTCCAAGAAGAACGACAGTTTGTATTGAAATGAAATTTTGTGCGCATATGTAGGTTAATTTAGACCATTTTCTCAAAATATAGAGAGTTCCAACAAGGTGTCCCCAAAAACCTTTACACATCAAAGTTCTGTCTTTTTTTAATGGAACAGCTTATACCGGGTGGCACTCTAAATGGCTTTCTCGGTATATTTTTACTTTATTCTATAGAAAATGACACTCTGAATAGATTGACATATCATATGTCAACTTTTGACATTTTCGCTTTAAGAAATATCATATTTTATATTTCAATCTAGAGTGCCATTGGTGTGTTATAAAACACTAATTTTTATTCAAGGAGCCGAAGGAGCCTTGGTAAAATAGTTTTAATCGTTTAATATTTTAGAGTCTTGTCCTGGCCGGTTAAAATATGGCAAAATTGTATTTTTAATATCTCATTTTTTTTTCAAATAGAACAAAGGTAGCTCATGGCATATTTGGAAAACTATGTTTTTACGAATAACTTGGCACACACTTGGTATTTCGAGTCAAATTGTCGTTATGAATCGCAAGTTAACGATATGTCATTCTGTTCAGAGTATCATTTTTTATCGAATGAAGTAAAAATATATCGAGGCGAGGGAGGGTGACATTTAAAAATCAAAAGTTGTAGTAATTTCCGGTGAAACAGGAAGTGACCAAAAAGAATTGAATACGTCAATCACACAATCCTAATTTATGTTATATACTAACATACCAAATGTCGTTTTTTATCTGAAGAAATAAAAAAATTATAGGAGTGACCCACGTTTGAGACGCACCAGGTATATTAATTAATTTTCGGATTCTAGATAAAAAATAGAGTTTTAGTAAAGAAGCATATGAATAAAATGGGAGGTTTTTAACATTTTTAACGTTTTCTAAAAATGAAGAACAACTTTTAAATTTCAATAAAAACTACCTAAATTGGAATTTACCAGGTATAGAATATCTAGGTACTCCTAAACATTCTACATTTTACATCAGAGAGACTATGATTCTATTATTTGGTGACTGCAGTGTGCATTCCTCTATTAATAGAATACTTAAATGCTCCAGATTTAGCTAGTCTAAACTTTTTTTATGAAGATATGTTAAAGACATTGTTTTCAAAACTCGACCAGTTATTGTCGACAACATGATAGAAATGATTGTGGCTGCTTATCAGCAGGCAGTATAACTCCGCATAATATATACCTTTTAACATAAAAATATCTTTTGAAAGGAGAATCATTTTATGCAGTGAATAGGAAATATTAATTATAATAGGCATTGATATTAGGAAATAATATGATATCTTGAGCATTTGATTTCATCTAGCTAATTTTTTTCACACAATAATTATACGTTTTATTATAGCTGTTTTTAATTCTGTATTAATTAAAATAAGTTTTAAACGTGTATTTTTTTATTACCGTTAAATATTTTACTCCACATCCTCTAGTTTGTTTTAAATTAACAAAATGTATATCATACCCACCTAGATTTTATCAAATAGTAAACATCTACTAACGCAAAATCATAAAAATTAAAATATCTAGGACCTTAATCGTTGTTTTAAAGATATATGAATTCTCCATTCGGAATAATATACTGGGCGTCCAGGTGTTATTCTGGGGTCTATTTAAAATAAAGGGAGTAACTTGCTTTTAAAAATAACCAATATTCAATATTAATTTTGTCTCACCCTATATAACTTTTTAGGTCAAATTTTAATTTGCTTTAACATAAAATGGTTATTTTAATTAAATATTAGGCTATACAGGGTAAACTACAATTTAGGTAGCTGTTATTAAAATTTAAAATTTCTTAATTTTCACAAAATATGAAATATGACAAAATCCTTACATTTTAGACATATACCTCTTTAATGAAACTCATTTTTTTTTCTAGAATCCTAAAATCAATTAATATATAGCGTATTACCATTAAAAAAAAAAAAATTTGGGGACACCCTGTAGAACTCTGTAGAACTATTTATTTCTATAAAATGTTTCCAATTAATCTACATATGCTCCCAAAATTTCATTTCGTTATAAATTACTGTTCTCCTTGGAGCCTCCGCGGCATATGAGAGGCGCCATTCCATATAAAAGCAAATTTAATATCTTTACCAATGTCAAGCCACTATCAAAGTTCATGGTGGTTTGACATTTGTGGTTAACTTTTATTAATCACATTTAAATATTTTTTATATGTACGCTGTTTTTTCTCAAATATTTCTCTTCCCTTAAAGATGAGTACCACTGATGTTATATCATAATCTACATAGAAATGAAACTTTTTTGGGGATACATTATTGTCGTCTCTTTAGAAATTCAGGTGATTTATTAGCCCTCTTGCTAGTTAGAGGTCATTTGGACAATTCCGAAGGGAAACTACAACTGAAAAGGCTCGATTTCAAAATATTGGGTAATAGTTTTGAGCAAGCTTAATTTAATTCTGTTTATATGACACTCCAGGTATAGAGGGAAAACAATAAAGATTTTAATGTCGCATTCTGGTCAGCCCAAGCCCTGTTTTTAGCGAAGAGGGTTGACCATAAAATTGTTATTTCTTTGGGGTAATTTAGCAGTCCAGTAGTGATTTAGTTTACTGAGCATTAAAATGGGAAATTATATTGCTTTTAAAATAGGCTGTTACAAGAACATCTGCGGTTCTTGTGCCAATGTTAAAATATTATTGATACTAGAGATTAAGCATGATAAATATCTATAGTCTAAAATAATAAATAAAAACTTGTTTATAATAAGTGATATATTAAGAACTTAATATTTTTTACCAATTTTTTTGTCTAAATTCCTTTTATTTAAAAAAACATAAATAATTCAACTCTGGCTAGACACAGAAGGTATTATTCTGAAGGAGATCATCCAAAAATAGACAGAATTAGAAGAAATATGTTTTAATTAACATGAGAAACAAAAATTCTCATTGTCATGGGTAATCTTGTTGGGGCCTAGATCATATACCAGGTGTTTCTCCCCCCAACAGTGGCTTTCCTTATAAGTTCTATTGTAAGGTATTAATATATATCTTAATACTAGAGAATAACTTCTAGACGTGTTCATTTTTTTCGGCTTTTTCGGCCACTTCCTGTTTCACCGGAAATTACTACAACTTATGATTTTTAAATGACATACCCTTAGTATTTTTTTACTTCATTTCATAGAAAATTACATTATGTATTGAAACTAATTGACCTTTTAAATTAAAAAAAATAGCATTTTAAATTTCAATTTAGTGATGGCACTTGTTATGGGGGGGGGGGAGAGGGGTTGCTGACCTGTTCAATTTCTCAACTACATATGTGTGATAATATTGATAACAATATTTGGCTCTCGATTGGTGCCAGTAAAACTCGAATCTCTTATACATTCCTTTTATGGTTGGGTATAAATTACAAAAAAAACACGGGCAACCGAATTTCATGTCACTTTACTGTGAACTTGGGAACAGTACAAAAAGTTGATTTTAACCTGGAAAATCATAACCTAATAAAGTATCTCTTCACGTGTTTACCCTGTAC